TTCAGTCGCATAAGTTCAAAAGATACATAATCCCCCAATCATTATCCGAATGAAGTACGATGGAATGTAATCCATTCAATCAGCACTTGAAAGTCAAGTTGAGATATCATTCTTCTGTTTAAACTTTGGATCCCATTTGATTTAAAGGGGGAAAGCCGCTATGGTAAATTGGTTTCTTCAATGAAATGATTAATATCTTTTTTGGGGCTACCAAGCATTTGCATTGAAGTCCGGGGATTTGCTATGCCTTCATGTTCGCCAAACCTTCAAGTTTCTTTTTGCTGTTTTGCCTTCACGACGTTTCAAATTCAGTGAGACTTGAACCCAATGCATTTGGTGAGAATGAAGCTCTTGAATTTCAATTTCTGACAATTAAAAAGGTCTTACAATCTCAAGGCTTCCACACCAAGATACAATATTTTTTGGTGAAGTCGCGCTAATTTGGAACTGTCGGCATATCAGAAACCAAAGTTGACTTCGAACTATCATCTAAAATTTTACATTTTGGATGTCTTTTAGATTTTGAATTTTGGTATCCAAGAAATCAAGTTGTTCGTGATTTCGACATCACTACTTCAAGATACATAACCTTTGGTGAAGTCGCGCAAATCTGAAATCGTCAGTGTGTCAGAATTTAGTATTGACTTTGAAATATTATCTGAATCTATCCTTAATGCATTAAATATTGCATTTTGGGTATGTTATAGATTTGGAAGTGTAGTTTCCAATAGATCAAACGGTTCATGATTTCGACATTCCTACATCAAGATACAAAAGGTTTAGTAAAGTCGTGCAAATCTAAAATCGTCGCTACGTCAGAATTTATTATTGATTTCGAACTATTATATAAAACTATCATTAAGGTATTAAATCTTAAATTTTGGATATGTTATATATTTGCTAGTTATGTTTTCAAAAAATCAAACTGTTCGTGATTTTGACTTTTTTACATCAAGATATGATTTGTTTGGTGAGACTGCGCAAATCTAAAATTTTCAACATGGTGGAATCTAAAGTTGGATTTAAAATATTATCTGGGGCGATTCTGAAGGTGTTTGATTCTAAGTTCTGGATATGTTTTAGATATTGAAGTCTAATTTTCGATAAATCAAACGGTTCGTTATTTGAACTCTCCCATGACAAGATATGAATCTTTCGTTACAAGCGCGTAAAGCTAAAACTTTTGCGACTAAGATAAAAGTTAGACAATGTAAAGCAAAAGAGAAGAAATCTTATTTAAGATGAAATAAATATCCACTAGGTCAATCTAACCTAAAGATAAAAGAGGAGATAATGCTAATAGCCTAATCTAAACAAAATTTATAGTTGATCAATTCTTGACAGCTAGTCTCCAAATTCTTCTTCTTCTTCTCCTCCAAATTGGCCGAATCATCAACAATCAGTAAATTTACGTTGTCATATAAAGAGACTTCGGTCTCGGCAGCTGAAACTTTTGCATGAATCTCTTCAACCTTCTTTTGAGTCGCTTCTATAACACCTTCGAGGTTCTCCCTCTCTTGTTGTAATGTCTGCAACTTCTTCACAACTCTCTTCAGTTTCTTTTCACTAGAGGAAACTTTCTTGACTTTCTCACTTGCTTCAAGTTTGAATGATTCAAGACGCTCCTTAGCTTTGGAAATCAGCTCCAGCTTCTCGTCTTGACTGGTCTTATCAGCCAAATTGGGTCGCTCTTGTTCATATGAAGCAGCAAGCTCGAAAAGAGAATCTAGTGAACACTATAATGGAGAAAGATCTAAAATATTCGCCTTTTTCATATCCTCAAAAATCTCAGTGATTTGCTCCCTATAAGATGAGAGCAGTTCTGCACGAGTTTTGGAGAGTCTATTGCAAATATCTTTCCAAAGTCCCAAGTTGAATTCCTTTTTGCGAATAAAGACAATGCTCTTTCCTTCAAAAATAAACACTGCCGCATTTGTCATTGGTGGAACGCGAGTTATCCTATTTGGAGTGTGTCTTTTTAGGGCTTTGTCATGAGGAAGAGATGATGCCTTTGAAGACGACTTCACTTTAGACGTAGAGCCTCCAATAAATTCATCACTCACTTGCGGCTTGTCATGTGGGGATACCATCGGATGCCAATGGCATTTAACTACATAAGGAAAAGGCAAAGAAAGTAGGTAATTTTTAGTGAATCTATTCGTTCAATATATATAAAAAAAGAAGAAGCAAGGTGATTGTATTTTTACCTCTTTGTTACAAGCCGTTTGTGTTCTTGAGGGACTATCAATACTTGGAACCTCTACGATCTCTACTGGGTTAGGCTGTTTTCTTTTCCAATTTTGATCTTCATGTGTACTCTGGCTTATATCTTGAGGAACTTGCGTGCTAAACGGAAGAACTGAATGATGTTTCTCGATATCTGTTGAAGTGAACACCACCTCTTTCAAAGCTGCCTTTGAGGATTTAATCTTCCTTTTTTTATGTTGTGTAACTACTTTTGGGATTGGAGTAGGTGGTTCTTTGACTTTTGAGGGCGTCTTTCCAACACCTTGTTCTTCACCTCCTAAAGGAGTAGTAGATTTTAGCCCAACATTGTCTACCAGAGTTTGTAAATTATTCTCGAGAAACTTCCCATGCGCTTTCTCCCACCAAGACATATAATTGGTGGAGAAAAGCTTCTCCACATGATCTCCCGTTGGGGGAAACACCGCACGTGACATAGACTGATACAATGTGAAAATCTTCCAAAATTCGAGTCCTTCATCTAGAGAGGCGCTACGGATATCATTCTCCAAAAAACCAGGGACGTTCTGGTAAAATCTAAATTGACAACCAAACCGATGCGGGCTATATGGCTCGATGATGAAGGAGTTATCATACCTCAAAGGGAGGTAATTAAAACGTAAGCTCATGAAGTAATTTGACTCCAACTCTTGAGGGGCATCGTTATCCACATAATAATACGGACGAGAATTGATTAACATTGTTGGTGTCCAAACTATATCCTCTCCATTGTGGATGCGTGCATTTGTAGGCATATAAATTTTATTGGAATTAAATCCGTAAAATAATTTGGTTTATATTTTAAATTCAAGATATATCAGTTCAAATAAATTTATTGGGCTAATATAATTAGATTAGTTATATAAGTCCAACATATATGGATTAAATAAATAAGTCTTAATCCATTGGGCTAAAGTGATGAGCCCACTTCATTAAGCCCAAGATATCGTATTTCCAGAGGCCCAGTTTGGTGCCACGTGTCAAATGACGTGGCACGCCAAGTCAAACGAAAGAGCCAATAGGATCGTGCCACGTGTCAAAAATGACAAGGCATGCCAAGCCAAATTAAAAGGCCAATGAAATTGCGCCACATGTGAAAGTGACATATTCTGGCCAATCAAATACGGCAATGTCACACTTCAATTTGATTGGTCGGAAAGAGTTTGTTCTTATCATAATTCTTCACTTCGACAACTATAAATAGGGGTCTTCAGAACCCAGAAAAGGACCAGAAGTTATAACAAGAATCAAGAAAGAGCTTGTGGATCAAACGCTACAAATTTCTCTATAAGTTTCAAGCTTCAAGCAATCAAGTTTAAGTTCAACAAATCAAGTTCAAGCTCAAGAACGAAGAACAAATCAAGATTCAAGGAGTACGAGTTCAAATCAAAGTTCGTGCTAGTTGAATTCAAGATCATCGTTCGCGACAACAAACTACATATTCAATTTAAGCTCAAAGGCCCTTGGATTTATTTACTATTGAAAAGAAGAATCAGACGATTCATAAAGATTGTACACTCAAATTATTTAAAATAAAATACTACTACTGTTACGATATTTTCAGTCTTGATTTTATTTTCTCGATGCAATTTATTGTTTACAATATCTTCTTTGCTAATAAATTTTGTCTACTTTTTAGATCCGCTCTAGCAATATTAGTAAATACTTTCTTGAATTGTCTTTTTAATTGATGTTGTTATATACTTGTCATCAGCAGGGAGAAAGCCTCACTCCAGTTGATGTCTCGCAAAATTCCAAATCTCTGAAACTTATTTAAGACGTTTCTTGTGAAACTTACGCATGGGAATTAACCCCAAGTATTTTTTAAATAACTCAGCTAATACACTAAACTAAACTGATTGTAATAACCCAAGAGTAACTGGAATTACAAAGCAACTACTAACTATAGTAAAGGCGTTGCAATAGAAATCAAAGAGTTGGAAGTGCCCCCAACACATTAAAATTTTAAGTATTCTTCTATTTCTATTTTTTGCAATAAAGTTTTAGAGTCCATCTTAGTCTAAAGATTTACTGAATTAATCAATCTGATTTACTTCAGTCTATCTGTGCACAAATAATTTAGTAGAAACCCCTATACCGGATAATATTTATCGATGCATCTATCTTCATAGGCATATTACTGCTAGAATCAACTGGCTTGCCATCAGCAGAAGAATTTAGGAGTGTACACGACAAAGAGGTCCTTTTTTATTGAGATCAAAAGTATTTGGAAACAGAGAGGAATCAAGCATTGGTAGAGGAAAAAAAACTATCTTATGACATTATGTTCAATAACCAGGAAAACGGTAGAAGGATATTGAGAACTCAAAGTCACTCTGAATAGTCAGAAAAGATTTACAAATAATAACTTGCTACAACATTTGTCCCAACAGACTGAAGTGACAGACCATAAAACTTTATCCTATGTAAGGAACAAGTCTCAAATTCTTTTTGCATCATAGAAATAGCCATGAATTATAGGAAATACTTGTCACTAAAAAAGGATGACAAATTGATGGATCTCATAAGGCATTGCTCTTGTTGCTAAGTGTTTCCATTTCATTTTCAAGAAGTTGCAATATCCTTATTTGCAGTCTTTCAAAACTTGAATATTGAATATGGAGTTCATTTATTGTTGAATCATGTAATTAAGAAATGCCTCATAAGAATTAGAAAAATATGTGCAACACTTTATTTATGACACATATTTATTGTCACATTAATATGTCATCCATCTAATGAAAGGGCATTCATAATATGACACAAAAATAGGTTTTCTGATACTTTTCATTGAGGAACTTCACAGAGTCCTACGTTAGCGAAGGCTTTTGAGGTAATACTATTGGAAAAACAAACTTGGAGGGTGCAAAACTGTCATGGGCTTGCAGTCGAACAACTTTCGTTGGACTTGTGTAGAGAGAACATTACAATTTTAGTTGACGAACCAGCTTGCTGCTAACCTTGTAGTTTGTGACAGATTCAGTTATGCAACTTATAGGTTGGCTCGCCGTTCAATTCTTGTCTCACAATGTGGTGATATATATCATTTAGTGGTACTATTGGTCCAAAAGTTCTTCTACTCTTACAATAGATAGTAATACTGGTGGCTTCTTCTTTGAAAGGAACTCTTCTGGTTACACTTCACATAGCAGTCATAATACAATGCATGAATATATTCTGTAGACAACCACCATAAGCTCATCTTCCAGCACTTGGGTAGAGAACATTTATCAAGAAATTTCATTGATCTATATTAAGGGCATTCATAATTTTCAAGGAAAGTGGATAAAAGACTAAAATTGATTTAAGTGAACCTCAGTTACCAGAGCCAAAAAAGACATATCTTGGAATAGTTATTTTTCAGCTTTAACAATAGCTAGACTCTCTTAAGAAAAACCCTTACACATAAGGAGGTATAAGATCGTTGTCCCTCCTGGACTATAAGCACCAATATTGTTTGAAATTTAATGCATCAAAAAGGAATACGCAGAGCAGGAAAAAAGGATAAAAATTAGAAATATACAACCAACATGAAGGTAATTTATATGAACATTTACACACTTGTAAGTACTTTATAAAGAAATTATAGTAATTGGAAAACATATTATCTAATGAGCCACCCACATATCACTATCAAGAAGACCATGCATCTCTTATGATTACATAGCATCATATTACTTATCTAGGTGCTGCAGAGACCGCTCCAAAAATCAGTAAGCGTACCAATATGGAAGAAAATAACTTAGTTTTAGAAGCAATATATCATCAATTAAACCCAAAAAGAAGAATCATATTTCATTTATACCATGAAAATAGAGAGGCAAGCAAGAAGTTCAAATATCACAAGTATTTAGTCACCATTTAGTCTTACTACACACTATAAGTTTAGGGTATCTGACACCGACCAAAAAAAAAAAAACGTTTTATGGTATCTAGAAGAAGGAAAAGAAAATTCTCTTTAATTGGTTTAATTCGTATTAGGTTATTATTTTTGCCCAAATAAGCGACCACAACCAAGATTATTTATAAGCAACAGTCATTGCATAAATGGCTTCAAACATCATACTTTAATAGTCCTTAGATTCTTTTCTAATAACAATCATTGTAGTAAATAAAAAGATTTATCCACAAGTAGGTATGACCAAGCACATCTTTCATATATATAAACATATATAAAATTTTGTGCTTAACCAAAATTTATTTTTGATTAGTTACAGTTGACCAAGTCTAAAGAACCTAATCTTTACTTATAAGCAATTGAGTCAATTAGCATAACATTTATCCTTCACGGTTTGTCATATGGCCAGACCATAATGAATAGCATCATTAATGATTTGTTTGTTTCCATCCACAGGAGAAGCACATTCTTTAGATGTCTAATATTTCTTGCTCTATATTACTCTGTCATATTAGTATCATCTCTTAATATAGTCTTTTATAAGATACTAAGGTAAAAGAATGAATCAAATAGTGTTTATGTAAACCACTAAACATATACATCTTCTCATTATCCATTACTTAAAAATTTGTTGGCAGAGTCCTCATTTAATAAACAGAAGTTAGAATAAAAGACCCATCATATGACTCCTTAATGGAAGCTTAAGGAATTTCTATTAGTCTAGATTGTTCATTCTTAAGCAAGGCCATCTAGAAAGAATATATTAATTTATTTTTTTTAAAGCAAAAGATGAACTGCACTAATTTAAATGAGTATTTTGAAAAAATTTAAAAGATGCCGGCAATATAAATGCATCGGATTGACTTGAAGCCAGTGGCGAAGCCAGGAAATTCAATAAGGGCTTTGCCAGTGGGCTATGCAAGAGTGTTCAAAGTTTATTTTTAATCAATAACAAGTAATATTTTACCTTATAAGTAGTATAATATTTCGGCGAGGGTGGTCAGTTTGACCACCCTTGGGCCAACATAGCTTCGCCCCTGCAGTTGAAGCCAGTAAGATAGGTACTAAAAGTAGAAATTTTAACTTGGTGATATTCAGGAATCAGAATCTTGAAGAGTTTTTGAAGTAGCTATTAGGTTTGGGGAAAAAAAGGAGGAGAAAGAAAGAAGCAAACATTTTTCCTCAAGTGCAGTCTGCAAACGCAAATGCAATTAACACTGACAATGAATCTGGATTCACCTCTTGCAGACATATCATCAAACACCAATATTCCTGTCATTTTTTAATCGGATTTTTTGGTTTAATTCTGCACTAAATAGTTAGTAATAAAGACAAAATTCATTAAAAGGACAAAATGATGTGCAGATAAGGCACAATTAGTAATATGCATGTAAAATTCTAGAAAGACAGTATTCAAATAGAATAGCAAACTAACATATAGACACGAAATTATTTTATTACAAATAAAGAAACTACAATAAACAAAAAAAAACAGTAATAACTCTAAAAATAGAGAGGCCACATCAAATATAAATAAAGGAAAAATGGGCAGACTCATTTAGAGTTGTGCATAATTTGGTAAATATCGAATTACCGTATCGAAATCGAAAATTTTGGTATTCGGTATTCGATATTTTGGTATTCGGTATGGTATTTGGTTTAAATTTTAAAAAGAATTGGTATTAGGTATGGTATTTGGTATTTTAAAATGAAATACCGAAATACCGATACTGTATCGAAATATATATTATATTACACAGTACACATTTTATTAATTATAACATAAATATAAGAAATCTAAAATTTTACTTTCCTTTATTCTCTAAGTTCATCAATTAACTCCAAGCAAGTAACAAGATATTTTTCTAAGTTTTCTCTCTCTAGGTTGGTATTTGTTGGTTTTGTACAAAACTTTTGTCAACAAACGTTTTTAGTTTTGTACTTTTGAATACTTTAATTAAGAATATTACCGTATATGACTCACTTTTGAGTACTTTAATTAAGTATTCAAACCGAATAAACCGAAGTTACCGAACCGAATAAACTGAAACCGAAAGGAGAAAAATCGAACCATATCGAATTTAATTAGGTACGGTATTGGTATAGCATTTTACGAAACTGAATACCGAAATGTCTAAATAGCGTACTGTACCGACAAACGAAAGACTCATGAGAACTCTGAAAGAATGAAAACCCAGAAAAACACATCTATTATATTACAATCACACGGCCGAGCACGTACACATCAACACTATTAATCCAATAAAGAAACCAATTTTCACAGTAAGGAACATCAAGAAGTAACTCAACAAAGCATATTGATCCGGCATTGAAAGGAAGCGCCGAAGAAAGTTGGGAAACTCACCCAAAGAGAGATGACATTTTGAAGCTGTGAAGTTGAAAGGTAATTCCAGAGAGAGCAGCGAAAGGGAGAGAATTAGAACAAAGGAGGAGTTTCTGAACTTAAAGAGCAATAAAAGCAGAGTTAAAAGGACTATTTGTCACTGGTACATCTAGGAACACGTGTTTATTCAACAATCACTTAAGCCCAACACTATAGTACATTTTATGTTGCTTTTTGTACAATTTCTTAATGCTACATTTCTAAATATTAGTAAAGTAATAATTTAATTTAGACCAATAAAATCCATTACCTTGCTCGTTGCTCCAGATGTTGATCAAGTCTCCCCTCTCCTTACCTTAAACTTGACCATTTCTTTGCATTATTTCTATGTACTAGTATTATTTTATCATTTCCATTTGTCTTCACTCTTCCCGTAGTACAAGACGTTTTCCCCAGAAAAAAAAAATGAAAATTGAAAAACATTACGTAATAATCATCTAAGTATTTTATATTGACGAGTGATAACATCCTCGTCCTCATCTCTGAGTCTATATTTTACTTCCTCATCTATTTATTTCTTAGAGTTGATTCTTCAACTACTATCTGGTCTACATTTCTACTCACCAGCTGCTGAAATGAAGGTACAAATTTTCTTCTCCTTTTATTAGACCTTATGAATTAATATTTCCGTAGTCATCTTATATAACAATATTTGGAATTTTTTTTCCCTTGCAGAAACTGGTTTTTAAATTAGAGATATATGATGACAGAGACAAACAAAAAGCATTGAAAGCAGTATCAGCTCTCCCAGGTACTAATTAATCTGATCAATTTTTTCCTCCTCCTTTTTTTTGGTGAAAGACCAAACGGATTTGATCCATTAATATCTTTATTTATTTCTGTTTTGTTTATTTTATTTGAAAAGTTAACTTAAAATAGCTGTCCATCCAAAACAAAATAGCCAGCGGATGTATATGCCATACATAACTAATGTGTAATGTACATATATAGGCTAACGGGTGTAAATATTTTTGGCTAATCGGAAAATATGTTAAAAACCTTTTATTTCGCAGGGGTAGAATCTATTGCAATTGATATGAGAGAGAAGACATTAACAGTGATAGGATGTGTTGATCCAGTAAATGTTTTGGGGAAATTAAGAAAAAAAAATGGCACGCTGATATATTAAGTGTAGGACCTGCAAAAGAGGATGATGATGTAAAGAAAGATGAGAAAAAGGAATTAGATGAGACTGAAAAAGTAGCAGAACTTATAAAAGTTTACAAGAATTACAATCCTTACATACCACATTACTATCATGTCCATAGTAATATTTATAACTTTTATAAAAATTTATATATTATTTTATGAGACATAATGTGTTAAGATACTTGGGTAGAAGTATCGAACGACATGCCCTTAAAGTAGGCAATATTCACATTATAATATACACATTGTTATTCACCACAAAATGTTTCATACAATATGATTCACTCATAAACAATATGTATCATAGTTCCTATATTACAAGGTCGTAAACCAAACATTCCCTTAAACTTTCTTTAACTAATATTTTTTGTGTTTTTGTTCAAGCTGATGTTAGGGGCGAAACAGAGGGGCCCCAGGTGAATTTTCAAGCGTATTATTGCTTACTTAGTGTAACTCTACTGGTTAGTAGTTTATTTCAATTACCATTTGAAACACACATAATCACATCTTTTTTGATTACCTTTGAATCATTTCTTTTTCCAGAATCCGTGAAATGTAAAAGTTGAACACCCTTTTGCGAAAAAGGATGTCTCCACTAGTATAGGCGATGGAAAATAAAACAGTTTGAATAATCAATTAATAATAAAATACACAAAATGAGGTATTAATGAAGGATCCAACAAGTACTAGTAGTAGTAGTAGTGATGACAACTAGATTTTTTTCATTTCTTCTATCACACTCCATTTACAATCTAAGAGCATTGATATTTATAAACTCTCTAATTCGTCTCTCTAAAATTATTTTTTTGCTCCTTACATTAACAATTGAATAATTAACCCACTTAATTATCCACTCAATTGCTTAAATTAGAAATAGCCGGTGAAAGTATAATATATGCATAATTGGTGTATTATATAATGTATAATGGTGTATAATCAATGTGCAATCTAGGTATATGACCAAAAAAAGTAAACAATGAATATGACTCGCTATCTGTGAAAAAATCCCGATAGAATATCTTCATTTTTTTTTTGCTGCATTGCTCTTAGGAAATGCGATGTCAATCGATCACGATAAACTCAGTCAAAAAGAACACCATAATTATCTTAAAAATTAATCAAACAATCACAACTTAAGGTACATCTTCCGCAAAATAAAGCCTACACCACAATGCTCTTGGAAAACCATTATAGTAATTCCCATTGGCAAATTGAAAAAGTTCATAAACTCTGTTACGCCGCACCTTCCTGCGATTCCTTGGAAGGACGACGTAAGGCTAAGCAACCGATGTCAGAGTGGTTGATGTCCGCCAACTGAGGTCCCCTCCGTACGCTAGACTAGATTGTCAGTGCCGTACGGGAAAACCATTGTCATGAGCAACTGAGAGAACTTAAATGAGCAATTGAGAATGAAAGCTGATTGCATTGATGAAATGAAAGCTATTACAAAAGGCTATGCGGTGTCGAGGGGGAGAGATACCAGTACAGAAAATTGTTTGCTTGCTTGAAATATTTGAATGATTGATCCCCCCTAATAATGCTTTAAAAAATAATAAACCAAAGTTACATGACTTGACCTAAATAAGTTGTAGAAGCACACTGAAAGTAAATGAAGTAAAACTACTCTTTGGTTTGGTAGCCAATTTGTTGAATTTCTTTGGTTTGGTAGCGAACTTTATTGAATTGTCAACATTGAAGAAAAAAAAGGAAAAGTGTGTGCAAATTGTCAACTATAGTAGGCTTTAGAGAGTGAGGTTTCGGCTATAAAAGGAGAGTTTCATCTCTCATTTCTACGCACCAACAAAGAGAGAAAGAAAGAGTGAGGTTTCACAGACAGGGTATAAGAAAATAGTCTCTGAGAAAAATAGAGAGTGAACGATATTGTAGTAAGGTGGGAATATCAAAATAGGGTTATTTCTTTTGAGTGTTGTGGTGGTCTTTAGAGTATTTTACTCGGACCTACAAAGTGTAAAATTTCTTGCTATAGTGATATCATTTGCTCGTCTCGGGGCCGTGGTTTTTTCTCTTATTCAAAAGAGTTTTTCACGTAAAAATCTTTGTATCGTTGTCACTCTTTTATTCTTATTAATTACCGTATATCGGTGCTACATTATTATTTTACTTTTATTACCGTAAATATTAATTATGTGAGGATTTATTCCCAACAACTAGTATCAGAGCACAGGTTCTGCTCGCTCTCAGAAGTACTATTCATTGTCGGTAGTACTATACTCGGTGAAAAAAATATCCGGAGTAAAGTACTAGGTAGCAAAGTTCAACGGAGACAAAGATTTCTCAACATGGCAAAGAAGGATGGGGGATCTGCTCATTCAGCAAGGATTACACAAGGTACTAGATATTGATGCCAAAATGCCTGGTACTATGAAAGCTGAGGATTGGGCTAACGTGGATGAAAGGGCTGCTAGTGCAATCAGGTTGCACTTATGAGATGATGTGGTAAATAACATCATTGATGAAGACATCGTACGTGGCATTTGGACAAGGTTGGAAAGCCTATACATGTCAAAAATGCTGACAAATAAATTATACCTGAAGAAGCAATTATAAGCCCTACACATGGCCGGATGAAGGTACGAATTTTTTGTCACATTTAAATATGTTTAACGGACTAATCACACAGCTCACCAATCTTGGAGTAAAAATTGAGGAAAAAGATAAAGGCATCTTGCTATTGAACTCGTTGCCATCTTCGTACGATAATTTGGCAACAACCATCCTGCACGGTAAGACTACCATTGAGTTGAAAGACGTCACATCGGCTCTTCTACTCAATGAGAAGATGAGAAAAAAGCCTGAAAATCAAGGACATGCTCTCATCACAGAAGGTAGAGGCAGGAGTTATCAAAGGAGTTCGAGCAACTATGGTAGATCCGAAGCTCGTGGGAAGTCTAAGAACAAATCTAAATCAAAAGCCATAAATTGCTACAATTGTGATCAACCAGGTCACTTCAAAAGAGATTGCCCAAATCCAAGAAAAGGCAAAGGTGAAAGCAGTGGCCAGAAGAATGACGACAACACAGCCGCCATAGTGCAAAACAATGATAATGTAGTCCTCTTTATAAATAAGGATGAAGAATGCATGCACTTGTCAGGTCAGAGTCGGAATGGGTGGTTGATACATCAGCATCTTACCATACCATACCGGTAAGAGGTCTTTTTGCAGATATGTAGCAGGTGATTTCGGCACTGTGAGAATGGGTAACACAAGTTACTCAAAGATTGCGGGAATTGGTGACATTTGTATCAAGATAAATGTCGGATGCACATTGGTTCTTAAAGACGTGCGACATGTACCTGATTTGCGGATGAACTTGATCTCGGAAATTGCTTTAGACCGAGATGGATACGAGAACTATTTTGCAAATCAAAAGTGGAGACCCACCAAGGGATCATTGGTGATTTCAAAGGGAGTTGCTCGTGGCACGTTGTACAGGACAAATGCAGAAATATGCCATGGTGAATTGTACGCGATACAAGATGAGATTTCTACAGATTTATGGCACAAAAGGATGGGTCATATGAGTGAGAAGGGATTGCTGATTCTTGCTAGGAAATCTCTCATTTCTTATGCCAAAGGTACAACGGTAAAACCTTGTGACTTCTGTTTATTTGGTAATCAGCATAGAGTCTCATTTCAGACATCGTTTGAAAGAAAATTAAATATGCTTGATTTAGTATATTCTGATGTTTGTGGTCCAATGAAAATTGAATCGATAGGCAGTAACAAATATTTTGTTACTTTTATTGATGATGCTTCACGAAAATTATGGGTTTATATTTTAAAAACCAAAGATCAAGTGTTTCAAGTTTTTCAGAAGTTTCATGCTCTGGTGGAAAGGGAGACAGGCCAAAAGCTAAAACGTCTCCGAAGTGACAA